AAGTCAGTGGGGAAGCACGACCTGATCGTCAGGTTCCTGAGACGAGCTGCAGGCTGGGCGACACCCAACACATTCACCAGATTTTACTGTCTCCAAGTGGAGCCTGTGTCCGCTCATGTACTTGCTTCAACCAGCCGGTACTAGGACCCGCTCAGGTGTCTTCGCTTGCCATTCCACTTGGAGACTGGATATGTGCAATATTTTCCTCAGGTGAGCCTCACAAGCCCTGAATTCCTCCAGCACTGCTGTCGCCGATGCCAGTGTCTTTTGCCTGCACGTTGGCTAGGTACCTCCTGTGTGCATGGTCCCTCCCTGAGCGACCACCACATGTGTATTTCCACTGTAAGCCTCTCTGAGCATGTGTCTTTCCCTTGGCAAGCCACCTTGCCGCCCCAGTGTTTCTCCATATGCTTCCTTAAGTCCATAAGTCCCCTCTCTGGGTTGACAGTAATTGCATGTATCCTCTAAACTATGGGATATGCTCCCCAGTGTACCTTGGTATTCCTGTGCTAAATAGGAGTCCTTTGTCCGTGCCAGTCTCACGACAGGGATCTCAGATTTACCCAGGACACTGGAAGACAGCTGAGAAAGTGGTGTGATTAGACTGGTAACCCCATTCATCGTCATCCAACGGAACTCGGAGTGACAACGAAAGGGAACGTCTTGGTTACGTATGTAACCCTCGTTCCCTGAGTAGAGAACGGAAACGTTCCGTCTCCCTGTCACCTTCCGCTGTGCTGCGGGGATTGCCTGAGCTCAGTTTCGGCTCCACAGCGAGAAACATATCCGCATATTGCTGGCGTTCTCCTTTTTATAGCCATGAAGTGGGACGGAGTTGCGCCATGCAAAATCCGCAGACCCATGGCATTTCTTTGCCATTGGCTCGTTTTGTAAGAGGCTGATAAGCTTTCTAAGCGAAACCCCATTCGTCGTCATCCAACAGAACTACTCAGGGAACGAGGGTTACATACGTAACCGAGACGTTTCATAAATTTTTTTCCCAAGGATCATGGATTTCTTTTTTTTTAAACTACAAGCATTAACTTTCAGATCATAACCCATCCTTGAAACACACAAACATCTCCCAAAGAAATAAAGAAATGCGTGCCTTGAGAACAGAGTGAGGGAAGCTATTGTGACATGATCAGAGTCTGGAGGTAAACTAATCCACCGAGCCTTCAAATCCATAATCATCAGAGCATAACTCACAGGATCACTTTCCTCAGGCTTAGATTAGTGTTATTAACAGATTCTTCTAATCCAAAGTAAGCACTGCCTACATAATCCTGAAGGCAGGCATACTCCTGCAGTGAGGCATTCGAACCATGAAGCCGAAATCTTACAAGCGAAGTCAAGTGCAGCTGCCTAAAGCTTTCAGCTAATATAACAATGTTTGAAGTTTTAATGACAAAGTTTCGTAACCTGTCCTGCTCTGGATTAAGAAAGGTTATGGAATATTTTGTAATTAATTTTACATTACATGACATCCCATAAATATAATATTTAATTATTAAACATTGGTCAGTACTTTTTACGGTAACACTTTTTTCAGTGCTATGTAGTTACTAAAGTAACAGCAATAAATTATACGTAACTACATAACACTAACCCAACAGTATGTAAATGTAATTAATTAATATTGCACAGTACTTAATTGTCTGGTTACACTGTAACAAGGACACCTAATAAAGTGTAACCCTTTTAAATTTTAATACTTTAGCACATTAAAAATTAAGTACTTATGTACTTTTAATGGAGTAAAATTGAAAAGGAGTATTAAATAGTTTTACTTGAGTCATATTTTATGAAGGTAACTGTTCTTTTCCTCAAGACCTTAATTTGTGTACTTCATCCACCTCTGTGTGTGTGCTATACACATCAATTCTAATTAATAATATCTTAAGAGCATGATTGGAAACATTACCAGGAAGGCTTGCCACAATTAAATTTCTAAGAACAGGTCACACTACTTCAAACTGAAAATATACCACATAAAGCAGATGTTATTTTAATATCTTCACTCCATTTTGTGCGTCATTCATTCATGTTTACAAAAAAAAGTCTCTATTGGGTTGCTTTTTTTCTGGTTTGTTAAAGCAACACTAAGATTTTTTACCTTAAAATAATGTTTTCAAAGTTTTTTCAGTGGATCAAGTCATGACATGGTGAAATGCACTTATGCCACAGCTTTGCGGTCCTTTATCTGATATATCACGATATAAAAGATTGCCAGATCGGGCCGTGTTTCTGTAGTCCGAATAAGACTACAAATTTGAAAACTTTGAAAACAATATGAAAACTACAAATTTAACTTGCTTTACAGCAAGATTTACAATTGTACTTACACATATACTCAACAGTATACTACAACTACATGTAAGATAACTGGTAGTCAGGTAGCTTTTCAATTGTCATTATGATTCCTAAGCCGGTGCTGGATAAACAGAGCATGTGCTTGCGTGCACGTGCGACATGCAGTAGGCTAAATTATTTACGACAGAAAAAAATGGACAATTCCACTTCCAACCTTGGGCGACCAAGTTGGAAAAGTTACTTGGTGTTGCTTTGGATACACAAAGACCGCGAATAGATAAATGTTTGGTCACCAACCAGCTTCTCCAAGAGTTTCATCTGAACTGACAATAAAAATAAAATGTCCCTAGGCTTAATTGGAGGTCTTCTAAAGGCTAAAAAAAGATGTACATGCTTCTGGGATCCCATAATCACATTTAAGCATCGTATAAAGTGGGGGCATATGAAACCCGCAAGATCTAACTAGCTCCAAATACACATTTTCAGCATGTCAGGCCCTAATGGAGAGAAGAGACATGATGAGGGGGCAGCCGTAGGGAGCGAGCAAGATGCAGCGTTGATCGAAAAAAAAAAAAAAAAGCCACCACAATCGCAGCTACCATTAATGAAACATATAACCAGTAGACTGAGCTCCGAGTGCTATCGATTGGAATGTAGAATATATAAAAAGCCAATTGAATCAGTGAACGACTGTATTCCAAAGACTGAGTGATCCTCGTCAAAGACCTTACAATGGGTTGCAAGACCAGATTCTGCCCAAATGCTTGTTCTTGTCATGGTTGTGGTGCGGGTTGTAGAAAAGGCAAAGTCAAAACCTCCAATACAAATATTTCCTGATAACTCAAAAACAGGTACAGGCAAGCAAACAGACAGATGATACACACAACATGACATAACCGACCAAGACTAATTGAACAGAAGGAGACTAAATACAGATGCAAATGAACAATAACATGGTAAGGACAGGTGACACGGATGCTGACGAAGAACAGGTGGGTGATTGAGGGAGTGAGTTCAGGTGTGGAGACAAGAAGGATTCTGGGAAGTGCAGTGCAGACGAGGACTGAGAAGTGCAGATGGATACTGTGACAGAGCTGCAATATTTTGCACACTTTCATTTAATTTAATACATCTTAAATAGCTTATCTATTCATGGGTAAGTCACATCTTTCTCACTTAAGGGAACATTGCTTTAATGAACTGAGTTTTTCTTTTACTGGCTAATGTGTACATGGTACACAGAAGAGCACATCGAAATATATTTACACAAGAATCACAACCCCAAGACACAATGGATCACACACTCTAAAGTTGATTGTTGATTCTTATGCAAATCTTTCTGAGTTACCAACCGAAGCTGATCAGGGGTGCATTTCCCGAAAGCATCGTTAGCCAACTATGGTCGCAAGTTGGTCGCAATTTCCATTTAACTCTATTGGTAACGACGAAACTTGCGACCATAGTTGGCTAGCGATGCTTTCGGGACACACCAGTTGACGGGAAGCCTACTGTAGCTAACTAAGTAAAACTTCAGAAACAATATATTTGTTTTTCACTGATTTCAGTACACACTGTGAAAGAACAGGAAATTGACACAGAGCTAGTCTTTTGAGTTTAAAGCCCCCAATATTTTTTGCAGTCCAAAACCATTTTTTGTTCCAAACAAGAAGCTTTTCTTGATCAGCTTAACATTAGCTAAGTCAAAGAGTGCTATAGATCAACTATGGTCATTTGTTAAGTGCTTTTCTGTTCAAATCCCCCAAGTCTTAAATGTTAACTTGAAAAACAACTGAATCATTTTACATAAATAGACAAATGCAGAAGACAAATATTTTTCCTTGAAAAGTATTCTCCAGTGAGAAAAATCTAATAAAACAATCCCTGGTTTCGAAAGTTACTTCGGCTGTACAAACAAATGCAGAATGTTTGCTATGTTATCACTTTAATTAATGAGCACCACAGACAAATGAGGCACGCTGGTTTAATGTCAAAAAAAGCATACATACTGTATCTATCCATTGATTCGTCTATGAGGCTTCAGTTTTCTTCAGTTTTTTTTTCATGTCACTTCTAAGAACATACTGTTACTTCTACCCGTATGACTTTTTCTTCTGAGGAACATAAAAGAAGATATTTCTGAGAAATGATTTTTCTCCATGCAATTAACTCAATGGTAATCAAATGGGTTTGGTAACCTACATTTTATTTTATTTTCTTGTTTTTGCCTTCCGCCGATGAAAGAAATACAGTACAGGCCAGATTGACAGGCTAGATTTGTGGGCTGCCAGTTGCTGTTATAATGTCCATAGCAGAAACAAATGCTGACATTTAATTCACTTGACCGACATGAAGCCAATTTCTCTTTTACCATGCCCAGAAGTATTTGTGTAAAAAAAAAAAAAAAAAAGAGCACAATATTTTTTTCTATCCTTCTCCTACATGTGCTCTAAATGATCTTCTGAACTATCCAACCCTTTCCATTTTCTTTGGAGAACTTCGTTCTCTAATATCTTATTGATCCCACATGTAATGACCCAGTAAATGTGAGTGTGTTGTGTGTTTACTCTGATGTTTGTGTGTGTTCCAGCAATTCCATCAATCTACATCTAGGAACATAGAGTTAGTATTTGAATTTCACTGCCCTTTGGCGGCCAACTGACTGAACCCAAAGAACATGAACTGCTTACCTTTCTTTTGGCTCGCAGTTGGCTCTGATAGTTTTCTGATGAAACACCCGGAATCTCTCCTCCCCAAAGCGTCAACCCGACAATAGTGTAGGTAATGCCCATGACCACCAGGGGCAGAACGTACACCAGCATTGCCAAGATTATATGATAGCTATAATGAGAGAGAGAGAGAGAGAGAGAGAGAGAGAGAGAGAGAGAGAGAGAGAGAGAGAGAGAGAGAGAGAGAGAGAGAGAGTATTGACTGTACTGACTGTACAGTCTGACTGTATTTCACTCCAAGATAATTTGGGAAAAGTTATCTGACAACAGAGAGTGTAGTTTCGGATTTATATTTTGCAATTTCATTCTTGAATCGAACCTTACAGTTCTACGATAACTTGAAGAAATAATGTTCAATATCTCAAACTTGACAGATTACTCATACAGCTTTTGGACTGCGATCAAAATACTTGTGAATGTTGAACTTCTGTTGACACCGTTTCCATACACCAGCTATGTACAAACTTAACAGAAAACAGGATTTTACAACGATTTGATTTAATATTGTTAATAATAACACCACTACTAATCATGTTCCCTTTAAAGGGAACTTACGAAGCGTCAATGACGCTTTGGTAATGCCTCCAGCGTGAATGCATCTGAAGCATCTATGTCCACTAATCCAGAGATGCTTCCGTTTCATGTGTTTAAAAAGCTAGATCGTGTTGCTATGCATGCAGTTGTTCACTCCTGTAAAATAATAGTTTTTAAATTAATAAACTCATTTTTAAATCAATATTTTGTGTAAAAGTATTGATTTATTTGGTAGGTAGCCATGTTATAAGTGGGAAAATGTATAGCGAGGCAGTTGTAACAGCGAATACAACCCCTTCAGGCTGACTCAAGACTCCGCTTCGTGTTAGAGTTTGCGGGGTTGTATTCGCTAGAACAACCGTCTCGCTATACATTATCCATTACTTTTAGTTATTTATTTCTATGAGGGCTGACAAGACAAAATAAGGACTGTCACGTATGTTTAAACAGTGCGATACAGCAACCAAACCAGTAGCACTACCATTTTTGCAGCGCCGAAAGCAAACCTTTCACTGATGGAAGTATCCTTGACATTGAGAAACTCGTCTTGTGTATACATAAATCTCCTAAATCTCTCTGACCCATCGTCATCTTTATCGTCTAATTTTCTGTCGCTCTACATATGTCATCTGGTATCATTGAACCGATTGGCTATGAGCTGCATACAGGCGCATTTGATAGACATTCGAAGCACCCAATAATACGGCTCTGGGCATTCGTAAACCACGCCTCAAATACGAGAAATTGAACATGTGGTTTCCAGACCACATCTCATTCTCAATGATACATGGTCTGACATTAGCCAGGCTAACGGACTGCAGCTTTAATGTAAGTTAATAAAAATACATTGTTTGTTGATGTTAGTTCACAGTGCATTGCCTAATGTTAACAAATACAACTTTTGATTTTAATAATGTATTAGTAAAAGAAATTAACATTAACTAAGACAAATAAATTCTGTAGAGGTACAGTCGTTATTCTTAGTTCATGTTAACTAAAGTAGTTAAATAATGAAAACTAATGAAACCTTATTGAAAATTGATACCACAGCTACATTTTTATTATTGACAACTACTACTACTACTATAAATATTTTTCTTTAAAATGCGCATGCATATTTAAATAGCACTCACATGAAAGGGTCCTCTGAAAGTCTCGGCCAGGCAATGTAACAGACGGTCCGTATGCGAAATTTTTTGATGGTTGAAAAGAAACACACTGGAAAGGCCAAAACCACAGCCAGCAACCAAATACACACAATGATCACCTTAGTGACTGTGGCTGAGAGACGTGGTTTCAGGGGATGGATGATGGCCATGTACCTGTACAACACAAACAGATGAACGATCAGTCTCCTGCCACACATAGTCTGAAACAGCTTCAAATAACATTCATATGATCAAACATCAAAGACAGACCACAGTTGAGCAGTTTTTAATTTGTAGGTTGTGTAATGATCTAATTGCTGATTGATTATGGCTCCCATCAAAGAGGTAAATCTTTCTCTCAGATGCAATAACAATTCAACCTGCCAGGTTAATACAACATTCCATAACAGAAAAGTAACACGAAGAATTTGAACACTGATTAATCGCATGCCATTGATTACTTCTGCACTCCATAATGTGGGGCTAGCCTATATGCTTACCATATTCACTACCATATCACTATCACACTTTGGTGTTTAAAAGCTTTGAAAGGCTTGTTAAAAGGCACGTAGTGTTAAAAACACAACATATATTGGAACCGTTGCAATTCGCATATCAGTCAAACAAGGTGGATGATACAAATGTTAGCATTGCTGCATTTAGTTTACTCGCATCTTTAAGATCCTAAAAATCATGTGAAAATCCTATTTGCTGACTTTTCATCAGCATTTAATACTGTATTGCCTAATGTGTTGGTCGAAAGATTAGCCATAGACTTTAACCTGGACGGAAGACTGATTCTGTGGTTGCGGGATATTTTAAGGAATAGAGTAGGGGAGACCAGGGACAGATGTAACACTTTTTTTTTGCAATTTTTAGCAATACATCAAAAACCATTTATACTGGAATATCCAATTTGTTATATTATAAACTTCAATCCGTCTACTGCTGAAACAATGTATTAAAGTGGTTTTATGAAATATGTATAGGTTGCAAAATTAATTTCAATATAGTATCTCCACTGTTGCAACCGTCCCAGTGTACAGGGACGGTTGTAACGTATGTCAGGGACGGTTGTAACATGTCTAAAATATAGGCTACATAATGAATTAATGATCTAACCTACTCAAAATGGAAAATATTATGTATCAGTCATGTTATTGTGACTATTAATTTATCCAGTATCCAACTCTGGGAAGTGTCTTTGATCCCTGACTCCTCTTCTTGTGGAATCGGTGCAGGGTCACATGGCAAATGCCATATGCCACATTTTACATTTAATTTTCTATGCACAGTGCACATTTTACTTTTAAACGGGGCGTTACAACCGTCCCAGTATCACCAACCATGTTTTCATCTCATGTGAGCTAGCTTGACTGCTAGTTGACACTTGTTAGCCATTTCTATTTTTAGCTGAAAAAACAGTGATTCTAATAATACTTGTTTGAATTAATAAAAGTTTTATCTTATAACAGCATCCAAAAAAGTACATCAGAAAGAAAAGTATTTTTTTTACCTCAAAAACAACCTTTTGTTGATAACTCTGCCAGAAAGTTTCAACTGTAGCTCCCTTTTTGAAAAAAATGGCGGGAAACTACCTGAGCATGAGCAGAGTGAGTCTCATCACTCTAGGTTGTTTCTGATTGGAGGAATTCAAAGTGTTACAACCGTCCCTTGTTACAACTGTCCCTGGTCTCCCCCTACACAAGGAATAGATTATATCATGCTGTGATGTGTTAAGCATGCTCCATTACTTTTTGAAAAGCATTAAAGGCACAAATCCTATTATTTTCTTTCATTTGTGTGTATAATATATATATATATATATATACGTATATATATGAAGTGTTCAGATGCAAAAGCCTCTAAGTCCCATTTGAAATTTTCTTCTAGAATGATCATTTTTATCAAGCTTGTATATTTAAGTTCAGTGATTTCACTTAAATGGCAATGATAATTACCTATTAATTGTTATTTAAGTGAAATTACTGAACTTAAATATACAAGTTTGATAAAAAATCATCATTAAAGAAGAACATTTCAAATGGCATTTAGAGGTTTTTGCATCTGAACTCTTCATATATGTATATATATACATATATAATAAATCATATATATATATATATATATATATATATAAATTGTCCCTTTCGAGCGGAATCTTTGCATCTCCAAAACAATTATTGTTCAGGAAATTTTAAAAACGGCTTATTTTTTTGAGTTATTGTATCATTAAAGTTGGTATTATACCTTATATTGCTAAATTTTAAAACATGAAGTAGAAGAATTAGGGAGAATCGAAAATGTAATAAAATGTATGTGATAAAAAAGTAGTCTGGTTAAAAGTAATTTAAAATGTAATTACAAATACTTATTTGGAATCTGATTACAAGATTACATGTAATCAGTTCAGCACTGCATACACACACACACACAGACACACGTACATACAGTACATACATACATGCATTATATACTTGATTTGATGTTCAAAAGCTTAGATATTTTAGAATTTGTATACTCTATTCATGGAAAGCATTGGCTAAATGTAAAATAAGTCAGCTAAATAATATCAAATTCAAGTGTACTGCCATAGATGACAAAATGTTTGAACTGAGATTGAACCAAGTGGCCTCCACTATTCGTAAATGTTGCACATAATAGTTTCATTAAAGTTTCATAAACCAACAAATGCACCAGAATGAGGTTTTTGTCAGCAATGCCATCTCGCTGACAGTAAAATAAAACATTCATTGTACTAAAAATACTGTCTGGGCAAGCGGTGTCAGCACAAATCTCACACTTTCCTCCAAACGCAACTGCAAGCACACTGACCCACTGCAAATTCCTGCATACGTCACAATTGCTCTGTACATTAGAGTAGTGACTGCCTACCAGCAAAAACAACAGTAACAGCAAATGTGGGTTGTGAAATATGTAGCCTGCAGCCATGATGAGCACTATGTGACATTTTGAGCACAGGAAATAACTGTGAAGAACACCTTTTTTTTTGGAATTTGGTTTTCCGTTGTCTAATGTAATTCCCCTCTTGCAGTAACTATGTTTTGGTTGCTAAAGTGTAATGATAGCAAAAAAACAACACCATTTTCCATATAATAAAGGGGTTATCTCACAAATGTTGTTGTTGTTGTTGTTGTTGTTCCCAGAGGTTCACTTAATAAAAATAAAAGGTTTTTGGGTCTAAATCAGTCATTATATAGCTTTTTATGACCATAGTCCATTTTTCATCCTTCAGCATCAAAAGCCTTTGATAAGGCTGCATTAGCTTGTGACAGGATCCGAAAATAAACCACACTGAAATGTGTAGCTCAGACTATCATACATACTTGAAAATGGACCTTGACGTATGCATCAAGTCGCTTTTGCAGTTTTAGTTTGAATAAATGCTAATTGATTTTAGGATGATAGAACCATTTTACTTGAATTTACCGTACCTCTGTTTTTACAGTGATAAAAAAAAAAATGTTTATAAAAGCCCTGTATATTTTTGAAGAAAAATCCTCAAAACAAGTCCTCTACTTAGAATACATTAGTAAATCAGAATTGTAATGCAAGCTCATCAAATTAGCATATTTGAATTTGAGAAAACTGTTCTGTGTGTTGACTGAATAATAGCTTGTTGATTTTAGAGTGATCTCCATTCATATTAATGAGCATTATATCTGATTACCCTGACATTTAACTAGAAGTCATAGTTGGGGTCAAGCTGAGAAAACACAAGCATCAGGCCATGAGCTTCAGGCATCAGTCATAATCAAAAGTTATGCTGCTTCCATTATTTTCACTAGTGCAATTGGACAACTCACTTTCTGACATGAGTTTCACTGAAATGACAAAGAAAAGAGTGTTGGATAATATTTGGCATTCGAGTGATGTCTATAAAATTTACAGCTGCTGGCTGAAACAAAATCTTACTGAAAGCTGCAGTTTTAGAGTAGCCCAGGTTTTGAAAATACATATTTTATACAAAATATGAATAATTAAATTTTACATTACAACCATTCGAAATGTGTATTTTCATGTCTATTCAAAAAAAAAAAAGGGTGTGACACTATTTTCGCATTATTTAGTTAGTGAGATTTTAGTCTGAGACGTCTAATCAGAGGATAAATATGGAAATATCACCCGGCTGCTGAGAGGGAAAGAATGATTAGATGGCACAGCATGACGTAAAGGGATGAGAAGGCAGCAATGTACTCAAAATAAATAATTAAACATTTCCACATTTACCTTCTGCATCCTGATCTGGGCGGATTCGGTGGGGGAAAAAAACTTAACTTCTTAAAAGTTCCAAAGCATTGGTTGTGGAAAAATGACTCAACTCAGACAGCAATGAGACTCTCTGAAATATTCAGTATTCAGAACCTTGTGGCTTCTAAATTGCAGTTCTCCTATCGGTTGAACTTGTTCAAATTGGTTTGGGTTGTTCTTTTAAAATCTCGATTTCAAATAACTGCATCTGATTAGAGGCAAGGACGGGTCAAGATCAATGAGCGCCATAGAAACACAAGCTTTCAGTCCTGAATGCTCTCTCTCTCTCTCTGTTGATTCTGTTAATTGAGAGAATGCATTTACAGTTGAATTGGTGCACATCCATTTTTTGGGCCAAATAAATTGTGTGGTGCACAGTAAAACAATAAAAGTTGTTTTAGGCTACATTATTATTTTTTTTACGTTTTTAATCAAAAAATATGAATCATTGAGACAAATTCCTGCCAAACCTTACATTTTAAAGGAGTCTTGAATTGAGAAATAATATTTTCCTTTAACTTTTGACAAAAATGTTATTGTACTATTAAAACATCCTCTAAGTTTCCAAACTCAAAACTTCATTGTTAGTACAAAAACAGCTTTTATTGTAACAAAGCTCTGAAAACCGATTTGTTTCGGATTTTCTCAGGTTATAATGTAAACGTGCGAAAAAAAAATCTGATCAAAGCCTCAAAGGGTACTCATTGCAGAGTTAAATGACGTCCAGCTCCAACTCTCTGGGTGTCTAACGGAGTTTAGGGATAGAGTTGTGGGTAGGGTTAGGGTGTGGTTGGATATTAGCTCCACCCATTAAGCCCAGATTACCTCTTCTCTGGTACACCCAAATTTCTCTGCAGTGAGCAGCCTCTCTAAAGCCTACTCTACATCAGGACATCTTTGGCCCTGCCAACTGGCGCATTACTGAGAGAAGAGACATGCAGCATCACTGGACTAAAAATAGCATTACCTTCCAAATGATCCTAATGCTAGGAAAGTGGTTATTTATTTTCAAATATGTGAATGTCTCAGCAGAGCATTATTTGTTTATTCTGTACATTTCACTGTGGATCATTTGGTTAATCCGTCTTAATTTCGACAAGATTTGCAGACAGACTTTTGCAGTAAGATATGTACATAGTAATGCCACGAAATGCAAGTAACCGTGTTAGTTCTAATGCCTGTGATCTGTGATCAGTGATTTCTGATTCTTTTACGGTCAGATGTTCTATGTCTCAAAATCATTTATTGCTGTTCATGCGTCCATAATTCAAGCCAGTGACTAAATGGTCACTGGCTGAGCGATCAAAGAACACTCCCTATTTAATCGCTGGAGCTGTCAATCAGCCATATCACCCTGTAGCCCAAGACTGGTTGCCCATTAAAGCTAAGCAGGGCTGAGCCTGGTTAGTACCTGGATGGGAGACCTTCTGAGAAAGCAAGGTTGCTGCTGGTAGAGGTGTTAGTGAGGCCAGCAGGGGGTGCTCACCCTGTGGTCTGTGTGGGTCCTAATGCCCCAGTAAAGTGATGGGGACACTATGCTGTCAAAAAGAGCACCGTCCTTCGGATGAGACGTTAAACCGAGGTCCCGACTCTCTGTGGTCATAAAAAATCCCAGGATGTCTTTCGAAAGAGTAGGGGTGTAACCCCGGCATCCTGGCCAAATTTGCCCAGTAGCCTCTGTCCATCATGGCCTCCTAATCATCCCCATATACACCAATTGGCTTCATCACTGTCTCCTCTCCACCAGTAAGCTGGTGTGTGGTGAGCGTTCTGGCGCAATATGGCTGCCGTCGCATCATCCAGGTGGATGCTGCACATTGGTGGTGGTTGAGGAGATCCCCCCCTTCTATGTGAAGCGCTTTGAGTGTCCAGAAAAGCGCTATATAAATGTAACGAATTATTATTATTATTATAATCAAACAAAGCGAGATTATCAGTGACTGAGTTCTGGACTCTCTGAAAAACTCTCCCATTATAATCCACTAAATCTCTTATTTACATAATGTTCGTATTGTTAGCTTTGATGAAAGCATTGATGAGATCACTGCACATACATACATACATGTCTGTCATCAGCTACAATGCTCATCGCTGCAACCTTTCATGCGAAAGTAGATCTAAATATAATGCTATTTTGGCAAGCAGGACTATTGCGAATTGCCGGTGGGGTGTTTGCTAATGAGTGCCACCTGCGTGCCGTACTGGTCTTGAGTTTCTCACGGACATCTGCTGCGCACACATGAACAAAATGAAATGTAAAGTCCAGGCCTGGTCCTCTCTCATCCTTCACTGTCATCACTTCTCCTTTAATGCTTCCGAAGCTCCTCCATGAGAAATTCAAGACCGGTGTGGCACGCAGGTGACGCTCAATCGCACCAACCTGCTTGCCACAGCTATAATCAACACTTTTCACGATTAGTTTATCCCAAAAGCTGTTATAGTAAAATCGTAGTAAAAAAAAAAAAAAAAAAGAATTTCAGGTGGAACACTATGCAAAGATGTTAGCCAATCACTACAGTGGTCATTTACACTGAAGTCTCACAACAGACAATGCCCCTTCAAACAGAGCATTCAAATCAGAGGGCTAAAATCAGGATAGAAAACAGCCTTTTATTTTTGATTTAAAAATCCAATGCATTCCCAGGCGTTTATATAAGACGCTTTTGCCAAAGCGTAGACATCCAACGCACATGGCACCCTTTAGCGTCAAATGAGACGCTTCGGTAATGGTAGGTTTAGGTATGGGGTAGGGTTAGGGTTTGACCACTAGGAGGCGCCTTCTGCCCCATATATATCTGCGTCTCATTTGACGCTAAATGGTGCCATGCGCGTTGATTGTCTACGCTTTGGCAAAAGCGTTAACTTGTATATAAGACGCCTTAGGATGAGAACAGGCTCGAAAATCATACTAACATTAAAAGTGCACCTTAGGAAACATTCTAAAATAATAAGAAAATTCTGTACATGACCCCTTTAAAGAGTATCACTGATTTATCAATTTTGAGCTTTTCAATTCAGGCTAAGAATTATGCTATAAATTATTGCTTTTGAATGTGGTTTCAATTGCACTATGCGATTTGATTTCCAAGAACAGAATGAATGTGCATCTGCACCTGCAAAGATGCCCCCTGAAGGTGCTGTAGATAAGTTAGCAGAGCTCAGCGATCCACAATCATTGTGCAGCCATTCAGTGTAAGAAGGACTGCCTGAGGCACTTTTTCCAGTCAACTGTTTAAACCAATCTTAACTGAATCTGTCAAGTCTGTATAAATACATAACAAAGACACTCTTAAAGTGTATATAACTCTTTCAGAGACTGTAAAAAAAGAAAAAAAGCATTATTTTTTCTGTACACAAAAAAAGTGAATTTTCCCCAATCTTTAATCAAAATAGCTTTCCTTCTATCTTGCAACATCTCTTCTCTGATGACGTGATTACTGGCGTGAGGGCGGGACAACCTGTCACTCACATGACGTCAGTCACAGCAATAGCAAACCACTGCAATGATCCAACAACCAGATTTACATTTTTGATGTGGCAAAATACATTATATTTGTAAAAATGTTGTAGCCTAAAATGTTTTCATTTGTATTATATTTTGATCTAAAGTTTTACTACATTTTAAAGTCGTTATGTTATTTATTTTTTGTAGAAAAAAAAGATGAAACATGAAACCATTAAAAAAATTAGACCTACTGCGATATATAAACGAAAGCATGCATCAAAACAACATTTATTGACTTCTCATTCTGATTTAATGTTATCTTTACATACTCTACCTGTCGACTGCTATTGCACTCATGGAGTAAATGCTTGCAAACACGGAGGTGACGGGGAAAAAGTTGTGGAATTTGCAGTAGGCTTCTCCAAAATACCAATCATTGTGCGCGGCATAAACAAAATTAATCAAAGTGTTGAAGGCGGCCATCGATGCGTCTGAAAACGCCAGGTTGAGCAGAAAATAATTGGTTACGGTTCGCATCCGCTTGTGAGCCAGAATGATCCACATGACGATCAGATTCCCGAACACCGCGATCGCTAGGATGGAGCTGTACGCCACAGACCAGAGCGCGACGCGCCACGGCGGCTGCACAAACTGGTTTGTAAAGTTCCCCGTTAGGTTAGATCCGTTTTTTGGAGGTTCCATGGCGAAAATGTGCAGAAATCTTCTGATACACAATATCTGAAGTGGACTGGAGACCGCGCGTGATGCACACTGTTCCAAATGCGCGCGAGAGAATCCTTTGCTCAAGCGGATAACGGCAACATGTCACTTAGAAATTGTCGATTTGGTGGGAATCGATGCCAAATGGACAGACTGACAAATTCTCTAGTCTTCTCTATCGATACATAAATCGCTTATAAGTTCTTAAAGGCGCGTGGTTGTCTCCTGACTCCTGTTGAACGCAGGCACGAGCGCAACACACTCTGTAGTCAGATGCAGTGCCATGCACAATGTGACAAGTGGACTAACTAGTGCTACTGGGAGAGAGCGTGATCGATTGATTCACGGCGTAGAGTTAAAGTACAGACAAGGACAAATTGGACTGAATCCTGAATTGAATCAATAAGTAAAAACACATTTACGAAACAGCTAGGTCAATGCCCAGTAGTTCAGAAAAAAACACCAGCATCTGCAGAGGCTGCCATAGGCTACATATTGTAGGCTATCATACATGGCTCATTGTCCTTATTATACGTGCATTATTAAGGCATTATTTAAAAACAAATCTCAACATGTAGTTGCTCAACAAAAAAGGTGGACTGTGATTTTACTTTGGTGTTGGTGCAATTCAAAGGAGGGATAAATTAATAGGCGTAATTTGCGGCTGGGACATGTTTCAGAGAATCTCTGGAATGATGATAAATTTGTATTATAGTACGGATGAAACTATCACGTTAAGCATGAATCTATGTCGATCAATTAAATTCAACTGACTATTGATATTGCATAATATTATTTTTTCTGCAATTGTTATTGTACATATTTGATCACACACAGTTTTTGGCTATATGTGTAAGGACCTCCATAGACGCGATCCATTCCCTTATCCATTTGCGTATGAAATGTAATATTATGATTTCCATCATTGTTTTATATATATTTTTGATACTTGATATTTGTACCCGGCCGGGCCGGCCCACATTGGCCAACGGCCCACCAGGAAAAGTCCCGGTGCTCCAGATGGCCAGTCCGCCCCTGGACACGAGATCCAGAGGGCGGAGTTGGATCCAGATCTAAGGGGTGGAGATGGGGTTAGGGATCAGGGGGCGGAGATGGGTAGGGTTAGGGATCAAGGGGCGGAGATGGGTAGGGTTAGGGCTGGGGTTAGGGATCAAGGGGCGGAGATGGGTAGGGTTAGGGATCAAGGGGCGGAGATGGGTAGGGTTAGGGATCAGGGGGCAGAGATGGGTAGGGTTAGGGGTGGGGATAGGGATCAAGGGGCAGAGATGGGTAGGGTTAGGGATCAAGGGGTGGAGATAGGTAGGGTTAGGGATCAAGGGACAGAAATGGGTAGGTTTAAGGGTGGGGTTAGGGATCAAAGGGCGGAGATGGATAGGTTTAGGTGTGGGGTTAGGGATCAGGGGGCAGAGATGGATAGGTTTAGGTATGGTGGGAGGAGTTGGATCTGGATCAAACTCCTCCCCCTGGATTTCATGTTCTGCAGTGAGGACAATCTCTCTTTGTGTGTTTGTGTTTGGGGGTGTGGGCGGAGTCACTGATTTATCAGCACCAGCTGTTAGTGATCAGTGCCTTCTATTTAAGCTCATGGTCTTTCGTCTTGTGTTTGTCAGATCGTTTTTGGATGTTCCCTAGTGTGGTGTCTGATCTTTCCTCGTGTTTCATCTGTTCCCGTTTCTGGATTTCACTGTTCCTGTATGTCGTCAGAGTTCCAGCCTCATCGATCACTCCACTACATTTCCTGGATTATTCATCTCTTTCATCATCTCTGGAGGATCAGGTTGTCCACCTGTCTGCCTGTCTGCCTGCGTTACCACTGAGGCTTCCCAGTGTCTCATCCTCTTCTACTGAGACCAGCCCTGAGACCATATCCACCTGCTGTTTATTACTCAATAAACCAGTTTTACTTGCTATTGTCTCTCATGTATTCATTCCAATGACAGTGTATTTGTCTGTATTGTATGTGGTGTAAAAATACCATGATACTATATACCATGAAATGTGTACAATATATACAATACATTTTCATACTTCTCTCAGTAAAAGCACCAAAACCAAAATACTATTATGCACATATTATATCAAACTGGACAGTTTAGACTAATTCATTGGTTAAACTATTCACCATCTTCCTGGCATCAATATTATGAATTTGTTTTTCAAAAAGAACCCTGAGCTAAATGAAATTCAGTATGCAGTTTTGTGCACATATTGTAACCTTGGGAGAAATGTAAAACATGGCTGGGGCAATGAAGTCTCTTTAGAGAGAAACTGGTGAATGTGATGCACATTTTATTGTTATCATACGAATATTTGAGGAGTGTAATAAATGCAATGCATGTTCTCTCTGCAAATGATCAAACAGTATGTAAATGACAAGTCTCAATTGCTATTGAGACCTCAAACAAACCTAAAATACAAATAACTTGTTAAGTCAAAATTTTTAATAATGTAGATATAACTTTACAATACATTATTATATCGCATTATTAAGTAGCATTACTTCAGCTGCTGGGGATTTGGGGATTTGCTCCTTAACAGATGTTCAGGCTAATGAAACAAATTTGGTGGAGACACACATTCATTATCCATAAGATTCTCACTAACCATAACCTACATTCATTTAATCAGTGAAGTAGCTTATTATGCTGTTTACTGTCAAATTAACAATTTCAGCATGAATTGACACACTTTAGACTCTTAATGACACTAATATTAAAGTGAATAATTAAATCATAGCATATTTCAGAAAAAATAATTACAAAGAAATGATAAATTAAATATTAGATTAAATGTGAAATTTTCAAGTAAACATTTACTCCAATTTATTCAATTCAAAATACAAAGAACACATAAAAGCACCATAAACGTATCTTTATGACTTATAGTCTTAAGTCTACATCTAATATCATATTAAATAAAATAAAAAAAAGCTTGACAAAATAACAGCATACAGGTTTGGAAAAACATGAGGATAATGAGTAAATAATGTAGTAAAGCCAACCAGCTGGCTTCAATATAAATGGCATGGTTTTATTGTCCCTTAACCAAATATTAATTTAGATGTTGTGAATCAAATGTCAAAGGCTGACATTAAACAGCATGACTACTGTGTTTTCAAACATCTAGGCCAAGGAACCTTTTTTGAGTTGCTAATAATGTTTCACTTAATTATAATTAGAATATGGATTCACCATTTGAAGAATACTGTGCATGAGATATCAAAAGCAAAAGTTATCATGTGATTCAAGCTGAAATACCTCATGCTCAAAAAGCATAATAGATGACGAGAAGTACAAATTAAATTGACCGTTTGATCATACAGGCGTTCTAAATCGTTTAACCAAACAACAAAATTGAGCAAATATAGCTCATAAATTAATATAGCTGATAAGAGTTTCTCAATTATGTCTCAGATGATTTTCCACAGCATAAACACCAGAGAGAGAGCAACATGCTTATCACATGCTGCCAAATGTTGAGCTTTGTGGTTCATCAGATCTCATTCTGCTAGAGGTGATACTGGAAACAAGCTGTGCTGTTAGATACAGAATGAAGTGCAAGGTCAGAGTTTACTCTCAGAGCCTTAATAAAAGATAAGGATATAGCCCATTGGACTATTCCAGCCGAAGCTTCAAAAATGGCACCCAAAATGTCAATCTTTCAGTGTCAGTGCATATGAGAGGATGAGAATGATACAATTATTAAGCAAGCATTTCTGCGCCATACACCAATAATAAAGCCCTGGGGTTTGTCAAAACTCAAAGGAACCCACATGAAAGTAATTTACAAAAAAGTTAAATAGCCCCTGGAATATTCATTAATCACTAAAATATGGAAAGTGTTGATAGCAGAAGTTCTTCACATGCAAATTGAACTGAAAATTAGCAATCAATGTGATCAATCAATGTTAAACGTACTGTATTGTACAGAGAAAATCCTTCCACTTACATGGAACGAAAAAAGATAGCGAGCTAGATCAGTTTTGCCTCCAGAATGGTAATTGAACACACAAGGAAGTAATGGAGCAATTACATTTCTTGGACGTACCCACACAATGAGGTAAATTAATTAATCAGGGGCCTGGTGGAACAGAAAAGAAAGTGACTTGCAGGACTGAGTCACACATGGCTGCAGACAATGAATTTTAGAAAGAAAAAAAAAATCATGGGTGCAGAAGTTGCCTAGGTCTTATATCACAAAACAGCTCTACTTAGGATAAATGGCAAATAAACATGTCCAGTTAGCAAATGTAGCTATATTTTAGGGAATATTATTAAGTTTTTGGACTCCCATCTCGTGAGATTTTACAATCTGAACCTTGCCTTGTCATATAAACTTCAACTTATCTGATATTTTTGTAGACTTGAGCATGACACAGCCATTGTGTGTGATAAATACAATCTAAGAAATAAAAGATCAATTTGATCAAATTGATACTTTTTTCTTCATTCTGATATCATAAATCATATAAAATGATTTATTTTTCAAATTATTATTTTCTTAATCTTTTTAAAATTAATTTAAAAAAGCATAATCAATGTTTATTTTTGAATAAATTGCATGCAAAAAAAAAATCAGATTTTTACATCAGCTTGACTCCCTTAGCTCACAATTGTTTCAATTTGTAACAGCACAAGTGTTGAATTTTGAGCATGAGCATGTCAGTCAAATCTTGAAAAATGTATGCTGAAGGTTGCCAGCCCTAGCCTGAAGAGATACCTCAACAACATGTAATGTCTTCACTCTTTTAATGACGGCACAGTTGTGTAGGTAAAACAAGCTGCTATGAGTCACCACTAAGGTTTCCTCAAAAAGTCTCGCCTCCTTTCAATTATCACATCAACATGTCACATTCGTAAGTGCCAGTAGGAAATAAACAGCTAGCCTCATGGGCTTCACCTGCCACCATCTGTGACATAGCCTCAGGTCACTCAGAGACATTACCAATATACACACACACAATCCCATGAGCTTCCTCTACCAGGGTGTGGAGAGAAAACAACAACTGATGAATACTCTGAATCAATATCTAAATGAAAACAAAGTATACACAGCCTAAAATTAAACGTAAAGTAAATCCAACCAAAATGGAAAATATCTGCCAGCAGTTTTCAGCCCGAAAAATCTGTATTTCTTGTTTCCTTGGTAAGTGAATGTAATTGTTGCACATCTAAACTCTTTCTGCTATTAAGAAAATAGGTTTGTCTAAACCTCTGTGCTTTCAGAAATCTATTGGAAAGTGATTGCTAGACTGG